GCTGTACTTGTCTCTTATAGCTAAGTGTGGTACGGCAGCTGTCCTACACAGGTAAATGGAGGGTTAAAGCAGCCCTCAGGGAGGCTGCACAAAACCCAACCAATGGAGGGAGGGCTTGTAGAGAGCCAATCAGGAGAAGGTTTGTTGGAGCAGCCAATCAGGGCCAGGGAGGGCCATATAAAGGCTGCTCACCAGAGCGGAGTCAGTCTCTCCCTGGAGTGTAAGGGAGAAGGACTGGCTGCCTTAGAGGAGTACCTTAGATAGAGCGGTGCTGGGCAGGGTCAATAGGGCGCTCCAGCCTGAGGACTGCCAGACTGAGGCCCCTGATACAAAGGGCCAGGAAGGTGCTCAGGCTATGGGGAAGTGGCCCAGGGAAATAGGCAGTGGGAGTTGGAGGAGCAGCAGCACGTGGCTGCCGGCTATAGGGTCCCTGAGTTGGGGCCTGGAGTAGTGGGCAGGCTCAGCCCCCCCCCCCCACTTGCTACAGAGGGGGTGGCCAGTATTCAGACTGCAGTTTATTCCTTGAGGTGAGGGCCCAGACCAAAGGCTACAGTAGGCCACAGCGGCAAGTGGCTGCACTAGAGACAGCCAGTTCCCCCCCTGGAGGGGGGGAGAAAGTGGACAAAGAGCACGCTGTGGTCTGGGGAGTGACTTGGCTCTTAGAGGGGGAGCAGAAGTGATGACAGTGAGATGCCACTAGACGAAGGTGCACTGACAACCAAGAGCTATTTCCCAGCACAGCCAGCAGGAGGTGGTGAGTCATGCCCTCTCACACGAAAGTTAAGATTTTGTCATGGTTATGTAGGTAAAAGTCACGGACAGGTCACGGGCAATAAACAAAAATTCATGGAAGCCTGCGACCTTTCGGTGACTTTTATTAAAAATAATGGGGGGCTGGCTGCTGGGGGGAGACTGACAGCTCTGGGGCTCCTGCCACTCTGAGCACAGGGCTGAAGTTGAGGCAGATAATGTCACAGAGGTCTCAGAAAGTCACAGAATCCATGACCTCCATGACAAAATCTTACCCTTACTTATAGCATGTACTGTTGGGGGTACACACTGGTACTGACATGGGGAAGATCTTACTGTCTGCTGGATGATCCTTGGTGGTTCTGGTGCAGGTGCCAGAGGGGAAGGCAGGTAAACAGGTACTGGCTTAGGTCTGTAGTTCTTTCTGTGACCTCCTGCCAACATATAGGGCTGTGAAAATTCTTCCAAAAGGTGCTGCTCCTGAAAGATCCAAGTGACACAGGAGCTCTTGTTAGAGAGAGCGAGAGAGAGAGAGAACCCTGTGCAGTAAAGGCAGGAAACACGAATACGTTCACAGGGCTACACTTAGAATCATAGACTATCAGGGTTGGAAGGGACCTCAGGAGGTATCTAGTCCAACCCCCTGCTCAAAGCAGGACCAATTCCCAACTAAATCATCCCAGCCAGGGCTTTGTCAAGCCTGACCTTAAAAACCTCCAAGGAAGGAGACTCCACCACCTCCCTAGGTAACGCATTCCAGTGCTTCACCACCCTCCTAGTGAAATAGTGTTTCCTAATATCCAACCTAGACCTCCCCCACTGCAACTTGAGACCATTGCTCCTTGTTCTGTCATCTGCCACCATTGAGAACAGCCGAGTTCCATCCTCTTTGGAACCCCCCTTCAGGTAGTTGAAGGCTGCTATCAAATCCCCCCTCATTCTTCTCTTCTGGAGACTAAACAATCCCAGTTCCCTCAGCCTCTCCTCATAAGTCATGCGCTCCAGACCCCTAATCATTTTTGTTGCCCTCCGCTGGACTCTTTCCAATTTTTCCACATCCTTCTTGTAGTGTGGGGCCCAAAACTGGACACAGTACTCCAGATGAGGCCTCACCAATGTCGAATAAAGGGGAACGATCACGTCCCTCGATCTGCTGGCAATGCCCCTACTTATACAGCCCAAAATGCCGTTAGCCTTCTTGGCAACAAGAGCACACTGTTGACTCATATCCAGCTTCTTGTCCACTGTGACCCCTAGGTCCTTTTCTGCAGAACTGCTACCTAGCCATTCGGTCCCTAGTCTGTAGCTGTGCATGGGATTCTTCCGTCCTAAGTGCAGGACTCTGCATTTGTCCTTGTTGAACCTCATCAGGTTTCTTTTGGCCCAATCCTCTAATTTGTCTAGGTCCCTCTGTATCCGATCCCTGATGTAACTCTAGTGACTCTACACCAGGGATTAATTTGACCCACAGTGGCTCCACAGCCACTCTGAAGATTGAGGAAATGGGGTGGGGGGGATTCCTTTCCCTCTGCCCCATAGAGAGACCCAGCTCATGGTCTAATGCTTGAGCTGTGTACTGGAGGAGGGGATCTGCCCCAGCAATGCTTGGTTTTCAAGTTACAGGACATGACTGGCTAACTGGAAACATCCCAAAGCCTGGTCAGCCTCTGCACTGGCACAGCTACCGTGTGCATTGATTGCCCTTTTGGGCAAATGCTGCTTTCTCCTCCATTCCCCCCCAGCTCTTCTAGGGATACTCAGTTCCCTGGCTGCCTACAAGCCCCATAATACATGGCTCCACTAGCAGCTGCCCATACAACAAGTTCCCAAAGAATCTTAGGGGGGGTGATCTGGATGTCTGGAGCATGACCTGGGGCACAAGGGTTGGACCCACTTCCACAGCATTTCCCTCAGTATCCCAGGAATATGGTAAAAGAGTACTCATGAACTTTGCTTCCCTTTTACAGTCTTCTCCAAGTTCAATCACCTCTGATACAGGGATCCCAAGAAAAATGCAGTCCCTGAGCTTTCCAGTACCAGCATAGTCTGGTAACTCCTATTGCAATTGCTATTGTTCATGTGTGATTCACACTCCAGGATACTGTTTAACTACTGAAATCCCCTACAGCAGTCACCTCGTAGTGAAGACCTTACCCTAAGCTTCTGCAGGAGGTCTTTCCTTCGTCTCAGCGCGTTCTGCAGTGCGTCCTCATGTCCGTCGCTACTCCCTGAAAGAGGAATCTGATAGACTCCATTGCCTTCTTAAAGGATAACTAAGAGAAAGGGCTGTTCTAGCAGTTACAGTAGTGGGTTAACTCTAGAAAATGTGATACTCTATTGTTATGATTACTTTCCAGGCAATTTTTTTTATTTTCTGTTAATTTTCTTGACGATCCTATCCCAAGAACGAGGAAGGATTGTATTGTACGAGTACAGCTCCAGCCCCAATCACTGTGCAAAGTTAATATCACCTCTCCCAAAGCTAAACTGCAACCAGCTTGTATTATAAAGTCCTATTTTTAACTTCTCTAGGGCAAAACTTTGTCTGGGAAACTTAATTTGGCCTGATGTTTTCTGGATTTACTCTGAAGGCAAAGGAGACTGTGCAAAGTCTGTCAAAATGTTTCAAAATGACCCTCTTTTGAAATGGTGACTTTTGTCTAACGCATCTCATTCTAGCTCAGAAATGGCCTCTTAACTGCATGGAAATTTTGAGGTGACAGTAAGTCCCCTTGCAAGGCTGATTTTGAACTCTCTTAAAATTCCATGTGCTTTCAGATATGCAGGATAAGTCTCACTGACAGCTGCAATTTGTTCTGAAAAGTTTGAATAGTTCTTTGCCATTAAGACTTACAGCTCCTTTTAAACTTTTTGCTGAAGTATTTGAAGTTTTTGTCCTGCTGTCAGCCCACTGAACTTGCATCACAAAATCCAGCCTAGAAGGAAATGTTACTGGGTGCACATAGATACTCAGTTAATTTTTAATCCATGTACAGCATAGCTATGAGTGATATGTATGTGTAGATTCTGGCTCATGGAACAGGCAGTCTTCATGATCTGGAATCCTATCATGCTTAAGAAATTGCCATGATTTGAAACCTAGATATGAGTCTTTATTACGGGAGCTAGGGAAGAAGAGAAAGTTGGTGGATAACAGATACTATGGCAGCCCTTATCACTGGCAGATGGTTTCAGTAAGAAAAGCACAGACTTATGGGATGTTTCACTTAAACACTGAGTTCCCATAGACAGGAGGTCCCCTTGGCCCTTACATCACCCCAATATATTTGTATCACTTGTGCATGTTATCTGACATTCTTTGCACAAGTTTCACAGCAACCTGGGGAATACGGATGTTGGTTTCCAATTGCATCTGCTTGGCCAGCACTGCTTACTCCCTGGGTTTAATAATCTGGCATCCTCTCTCCCGCATTTGATTCACATTCTACAAACTGTGATCTGCGTTCTGCTCTGTGCAGCTTTGCTGGTGCAAAGCAGGCCAACACTGACTTAGCAGGTGACTGAAGGATTATTCCTGCTTAGTGGCTCCTTTACACACACTCCGTCATGACTGCTGGGGGTATGGCCTCTGCTACACTAAGCGCTGCTCAGAAATAGCTGAGGATCTGGCCCTGTCTGCTCTTTTAGACACACACAAATGAAACGGGAGGGAGGGAGAAGGAGAAATTCGAGCAATCAAAATCAAATGGCTGCCTAGTGCACTGTGCCCTTCCTCATCACCCGCTGGAACAATTGGTATTTCAGTCCAGCACTGATTTCAAGATGGATCACTGCTGAGTGGCAAATGCTTTCCTCCCATTAAGGGCTGCGTCTTCACCCTGCCCCAGCTCCTGCTGGCCTGTGGATCTGAAGGCAGAGCGGTTATCTTAGTAGGAGATATAGGCCTGCTATTGTGAGGAACTTTCCTGGCTTATACGCTACCCCGGTGAAATGGGCTAGCAAAAGGATCTGAGTCCTCGCTCCCACTTCCTTTACCCAGAGGCCTGCCTGACCTTGAGGGCTCCCCTTCCACTCTCTTACATAGACTCATAGAATATCAGGGTTGGAAGGGACCTCAGGAGGTCATCTAGTCCAATCCCCTGCTCAAAGCAGGACCAATCCCCAGATAGATTTTTGCCCCAGATCCCTAAATGGCCCCCTGAAGGATTTAACTCACAACCCTGGGTTTAGCAGGCCAATGGGTGGCAGAGTCCTCATAACCCCAACAAGGCTGGGCCCAGGATTCCTTGAGGGTGGGGCTCAACTCCCAACCTTGTTGTGGTCACTTAGGGCAGGGACTAGGGTGTCCCCACTCTGGGGTGGTCTCTGCACTGGGTGCTTCCCTGGCCCACTGATCATTACATACAGTTCAAAGCAAATACAATTTATTTAGAAATCAATTAAAAAAAAAAAAAGGAAAACATGGGAAAGGTCAAAGGAAAACCCGTCACCCCGTTCTGTGGCACAGGGACACCACAACCAGCCAGCTCTGGAAAGTAAGGACAGTTCAGTCTGCTCCTCACACGTCCCAGGCCTCCTGCCCAGGCCCCGGCTGTGCTGCAGGGAGGCTGTGGGTCAGACACTTGCTCTGGCGGTGGCCACACGCCCTCAGGCTCTAGGTGGCAGGACCCTTCTTCCCAGCATCAGTTTTTTGCCCCAGATCCCTAAATGGCCCCCTGAGAGTTGGGGTTACGATCCCCCTCCAAGTCTGGCCTGCAAGGCCTCTTGGCTGGGGGCATCTCCCTGCGCTGAACCTGCTGCCCAGGGTCCCCCTCGCTCTGCCCAGCTGCTCCCCGCACCCGGCTCCAGACTGCTCCAGCTCCACTCTGCCTCAGCACTGATGCTGCTGCTCTGCCTCCAGCTCCCTGGGCTGCTTCTCTGGCCCCTCTGGCTCTGGTTGCTGCAGCTCTGCTCCCAGCTTCTCTGGCTTTTGTTATTGCAGCTCTGCTCCCCAGTTCAGATCAGGCTCCTGCTTTCTCCTGAGCTTGACCCCACTCTATGACCCAGGCAGCTCCAGCTCACATGGAGGACGGGGGCCTCCTGCCTCCCTCATTGGCCTGCCTGCCCTGTCAATCAGGCTGACCTTGAGCATTGACCTCTCCCCATTGCCCCTGATTTCCCATTGACCCTCAGTCTCAGGGTCCTGATTTCCCATTGGCCCTTCCCCTTTCTTTTGGCACTGGGAGCTAGCCAGCCAAAAAACCCCACTGAGTTTTAGTAAGGGGCCAACAGTCCCCTTACATTAGGTTAGACAGCTGTACAAGATGCCTAGACTGAGGGAAGGCAGCACCAGAAGGAGTTTGAGGCCACTTTCCTGTCACACTGTAATATTCCTATCGACATAATAAACATAGGGTGCTTTCTGACTGCCTCACTGGGTATGGTGGGTGAGAGCAGAGATGCATCTTCTAGATTTGAAGGCTGGAAGAGACCATTGACCTCCTGAGTAGCCCAGGCCAGAGAACATCACTCAATGATTGCTGCATCAAACTATGATGTGAACTAGAGCAAATCTTTTATCTCTTACTTGCTGTGGAGAGGGGTGACTCAACATTCTCCAGGGTCTCACGTTCGTTTTCTAGTTTCTGTGGATAAAACCATTGTGAGAATTGATTAAAAGTCAGGGACTGAGGCTCACAAGAATATCCAGCCCTGCATGACAAACACACTTTTGGGACACAAGGAAATAAAATGGAGTTGGAGAGAAGGGACATCTCTCATTTCCTGCTAGTCATACTTATTGTGCATCTGCAATAGAAAAATGAATCCCGTACAGAGCTACTAGCCACATCCTTGGCTGTGGCTGGGAACTCCCGGGCTAGGGTTGGAGGTTCAGGGGGAGTTGCCTTGGTGATTTGCCTGGTATGCACCAGTCCCATAGTGACAAGTTAGGGTACTTCGAAGACAGTTCGGATGTTAATATAACGTGAAAGGAAGCCTCAGTCTTATCTCCTGCAGAAGCTGCAGGAGGTCATGTGGAAGAGAAGAGAGGTCATCTGGAAACCGCTATATTGCCTCCACATCATCAGAGAATCCCCTTATACAGAGGTGATCCACCCAGGGCCAGGGGTAAGTAGCCCTAAAGACAGCATTGTCCTGGCAGAGCCAAGGACCAGGGTCAGCTGGATTTTTTTTTATTTTTTTATTTAACGTAACTGATTTCAACCAGTGTAAGCACCTCTAAACTACACACAGGAAAAAACAAAGAGCTGGAAGTACATAGGACCAGAGGGAGCTCAGCATGGCACAGGATCAAGACCTTTTTTGGGACTTTAACTATTCTCCCAAATATACTGATGTGCAAAAATAAGGTAGAGACACAATGTAGAAAGTCACGTACAGTGAAGGTTTAAATGAAAGGCACATGGTTATTTGAGTATATAGGACAAATATTTGTCCTATTTCACATGTGTTGTACAAATAAAGTATAGCTGCTAGGGCGGTGGTTCTCAACTTATTTACCATTGTGGGCCCAGATGCAGCTCTCTGTGTTATGGGGGCTGCATCCACACAATATATCTAGTACCTGTATGGCTCTGAGGCTGTCACAGGGGCTGCAGCAGTGTGCTGATTGGGGCACAGGTTGAGAACCACTACGCTAGGGAGACAGGGTGAATGAAAGGCTCTGTCTTTTTACAACTGCAGCTGCTGCCTTCTCCCAGGCTTGCTGTGTGTATTTGCCCCCCCCACACACACACACACACGCCCTGCGTGAGGTTGTTGCCTGTCGCTGGAACCCTGTGGGGCCCCCTCAGAAGGCTCTAGCCTGTTGCTGGAACCCTGCCCCCCCCCCATGCTGGAACACTGCCGCCTCCCCCCCTCTGGGGAGGTGGCATCTCTGCTTGCCCTCTTTGCACCACACCCCACTTTTTTTGACAAAAGTGGGCATTTCTCCCATTGGCAAGAGCAAACTGATGAAGTCAGCAAGAGTAAACGTGACAAATGCCTCCTTTTGGGGAAAAAAAAAGTCGGGATGGCCAGGACAGGGCTTAAAAAAGGGACTGTCCTGGCCAAAACGGGATGTATGGTCACCCTACCCCTTTCCCTTTAGTTGGGGCCTGAGGTGAGCTCTACAGTCCTCCAGAGGGTCCTCCAGCACAAACAGGGAAGGGAAAACTTGACCATCCTTCTACCCCTAGGCTAAAACACAAGAAGAACCTTGGCGTATACACACACACACACACACATATATAAAGAAAAAAATGATTGATGCCATTTTTAAATATTACAAAAAATCAAGAGTGCACAGGTAAAACAAGTACCCCTTTAATACACAAACATATGGGCAGCTTGGCTGTCTGCATGGAATTATTAGAAGTGCAGGTACTTTCCTCCTGGCATATCTTGAGGTAAAATATAATCACAGTTAAAAAAAAAAAGTCTAAAACCCCCACCTAGACCTAAGACAATACCTAGGTCTTTGTTGAATCTCCTTTGCCTAAGGCAGAAGAAGCAAAGGCCCTGGATCTGTGAGGTGCAACAGAAAAATTAAACCAAAAATGATCAAGACCTGCATCTCATCAAAAAATGTGTATGCTTTCCAAGGGAGCATTTCCAGGGAATACAAGCACCCAAATGATTTTGTTATTGTTGTTTGCTAATCACAGGGAATCATGTTACAGAGCTGAATTCTAATGAAATAACTGCTCCAAGCGGCAGACTATCCCACAGCACATCCTGGGTTTCATTTTAGAGGCCCATGGGCCACCTCAAGGGCTTTTCCTGTGGTAGGCAAACTAGAAGATGTATGCCCCTCACTAACTGCGTCACAATAGCAATTCCTCAACATTCTGCAGTTGTAGGCCCTGATCCTGGCAGTTGCTCCATGTGAGAATAGGGGTCTGTTCACATGGAGAAGCTGGCCAAATCAGTGCCCTAGGCTGAACGGTCGGTGCTGCCTTGAACAAGTTAGAGCAGATCCCGGAACCTTGACAATTACAGACTATTTAGAATGTCATAAATATACAAAAATGAAAACAGACTGATATTTGTAAAAGTCTATTGATCCCAAAATGGTTAAGTGTAAATCTAGTTTGGTTAAAGAATGAACTTTAGTGCCAAGGGGCCAGATAATCCCTTCCATGGGAATTACTTGCATGAGGGACTGGAAAATCTGTGAAGCACCATTCTCAGAGTTTCCCCAGCATCATTTCCTTTGGCGCATTAGAGACATGTAGTGGATTAGTCCCCAGTGCCCACAGATCTTGGAAATCCAGAGATAACAAGGTTATCTGCGTGAAGGCCTTGTGCTTCTGCATTTTCTTGGCACCTCTGGATCTGCAGTGCCAACAGTTCCCCTGCTAGTCAGCAGATGCCCCCAAGACTAAAAGAGAATTCCACAGCACAGAGGGAGGAATTTACTTCAAGGTTGATGGGCAAATGATATGTGAACAGCATCCATCCCTGCAGTACATCACGCTTGGCAGCCGACAAACCCTCCATGTTGAGTTGTAACATGCCTAGAGCTGGACCAATGACATAGAAGTCATCAGGCTGCACGCTGGGGTTGTCAGTGATGACAGTGCTGGGATTCGTTGAGCTGGTGCTCATGGAATTCGGCTTGGTGGTTGGATCATTAGCTTCCCTGACTGCTGTCAGGTACTGGCGGGTGGCGCGACGGGAACGCTGATCCAAGGTCTCTGTGTCGCCAACCAGTATCGCTGGGGCCTTCGTGACAGCCCTTTGCGCAGCTACGGCGCAACACAGACGATGACGCACATTGTCGCTGAATGCCTGCTGACTAGGTTCAGTGGTGGCCTAGAAGAACTGCATCACACCACTGAAGATGCCACCACTCGGCTAGACGACTATGCACACGCTAAATAAATAATCCCTGCAGTCAAATCTCCTCCACTCCCATGGATCCCCAACCCAAACAGTTTCCACTGATGCTGCCATCGTGGCCTTAGGCAGGACTCCTTGCAAGCCTGTGCCTAGAGGATGTGCCGAGGAGGGAGGCGTGCCAGGTGTGGTAGGGGGCAGGGCCACAGAGTAGAGTGCTTCAGAGATTCTGTATGGCACTGCAGCCCACAGGCATTTGGGGATGGGTTGCCTAAGTTGCATTGGGGACCACACTGGACCCCAAAGCAATCCATAATCAGGAGGGCACAAAGATGTCTAAAAGCCAACTTAGCCCCTTCCTGCCCTTGGGATGCACCTGTTTGTGCTGCTTTGCTGAATGATAGTGACACTGAAATTTTTATTTCATAGGCAACTTAAGCTTGTTTAGTTAACCAACTATTACTTTGACATTATGGGATGGTAATCACTCTATCATTATTTCCCCCCTTTAATTTGTTTTAAGGTTCATATAACATTGATATTATAAAATTATTTTATTCTCTTAAAATAATTATAATTATAATTATGATACTCTAATGCTGCACACTGTTCGGCTTCTCACTATAGGAAAAAGATAATGAGTTGGATGCCGAACCCTTCTTGTGTTTTGGGTGAAGTACAGTCACAGAATCATAGAAATGTAGGACTGGAAGGAATGTCAATAGGTCATCTAGTCCAGTCCCCTACATTGAGGCAGGACTAAGTATTAGCTAGACCATCCCTGACAGATGTTTCTCTAGTTGTTCTTAATCTCCAATGATGGAGATTCCACAAACTCCCTATGAAATTTATTCCAATGCTTAACTATCCTTCCAGTTAAGAAGTTATTCCTAATGTCTAATCTATATCTCCCTCGCTGCAGTTTAAACTCATCACTTCTTGTCCTGTCCTCAGTGAGTAAAAAAAAACAATTTATCACCCTCCTCTTTATAACAACCCTGTACATACTTGAAGACTGTTATCATGTCCCCCTTCAGTTGCCTTTTCTCCAGACTAAACAACCCTTTTTTTCCCAATCTTTCCTCATAATTCATGTTTTCCAGAACTGTAATAATTTTTGTTGCTCTCTTCTGGATTTTCTCCAATTTGTCCACATCTTTCCCAAAGTGTGGTGCCCATAACTGAACACAATACTCCAGTTGATGCCTTATTGGTGCTGAGTAGAGTGGAAGAATTACTTCTTGTGTCTTGCTTACAACACTCCTGCTAATGTATCCCAGAATGATGTTCAATTTTCTTGCAACGATATTACATTGTTGACTCTATTTAGTTTGTGATCCACTATAACCCCCAGATCCTTTTCTGCAGTACTCCTTCCTAGACACCCATTTCTCATTTTGTATTTGTGCAATTGATTATTCCTTCCAAAGTGTAATACTTTGCATTTGTCCTTATTGAACTTCATCCTATTTATTTCAGATAATTTCTTCAGTTTGTCAAGATAATTTTTAATTCTAATCTTGTCCTCCAAAGTGCTTGCAACCCCTCCCAGCTTGGTGTCATCTGCAAACTTTATAACTGTACTGTCTATCCCATTATCCCAATCATTTATGAAGGTATTGAATGGAACCAGATGTAGGACAGCTATCTGTGGGATCTCACTTGATACTCCCTTCCAGCTTGACTGTGAGCCATTGATAACTATTCTCTGACCACAGTTTTCCAAGTTGTGCATCCATGTTATAGTAGGATAGTCTAAGGCTATATTGCCCCAGTTTGTTTACGAGAAGGTCATGTGAGACGGTATCAAAAGTTTTACTGAAGTAGAAGTAACTCACATCTACTGCTTCCCCCATGTATAAGGCTTGTTATCCTGTCAAGGGAGGCTATTAAGTTAGTTTGACACAATTTTCTTGACAAATACACATCTTAGGGATCACATGGGTCTCAAACCCCGATCCCCAGGGCTTCGTAAGAGCTAGGTAGTCCCCATCTGACACCTAGTGGTATGCTAGCAGTTTCTAGAATAGCAGCTGAACTCTAGTCCTGAGATCTGATTGGTGAAACAAATCTCACAAAACTAAGTGATTGGGCAACAAAATGGCAAATGAAATTTAATGTGAATAAATGTAAAGTAATGCACATTGGAAAAAATAACCCCAACTATACGTACAATATGATGGGGGCTAATTTCGCTACAACAAATCAGGAAAAAGATCTTGGAGTCATCGTGGATAGTTCTCTGAAGATGTCCACGCAGTGTGCAGAGGCAGTCAAAAAAGCAAACAGGATGTTAGGAATCATTAAAAAGGGGATAGAGAATAAGATGGAGAATATATTATTGCCCTTATATAAATTGATGGTACGCCCACATTTTGAATACTGCATACAGATGTGGTCTCCTCATCTCAAAAAAGATATACTGGCATTAGAAAAAGTTCAGAGAAGGGCAACTAAAACGATTAGGGGTTTGGAACGGGTCCCATATGAGGAGAGATTAAAGAGACTAGGACTTTTCAGAGGAGACTAAGGGGGGATATGATAGAGGTATATAAAATCATGAGTAATGTGGAGAAAGTAGATAAGGAAAAGTTATTTACTTATTCCCATAATATAAGAACTAGGGGTCACCAAATGAAATTAATAGGCAGCAGGTTTAAAACAAATAAAAGGAAGTTCTTCACACAGCGCACAGTCAACTTGTGGAACTCCTTGCCTGAGGAGGTTGTGAAGGCTAGGACTATAACAGCGTTTAAAAGAGAACTGGATACATTCATGGAGGTTAAGTCCATTAATGGCTATTAGCCAGGATGGGTAAGGAATGGTGTCCCTAGACTCTGTTTGTCAGAGGGTGGAGATGGATGGCAGGAGAGAGATCACTTGATCATTACCTGTTAGGTTCACTCCATCTGGGGCACCTGGCATTGGCCACTGTCAGGATACTGGGCTAGATGGACCTTTGGTCTGACCCAGTACGGCCGTTCTTATGAAACCATGCAGATCCTGATTAGTCCCCACACTATATTTAACCCAAGCACAGGAACAGGAAGTTGGCCATGCAACTGTGTTCTCCCTGCTTTAGGGCTGTTTCCCCTGTGATTCCTGCTCTTCGTGCCTGCTGCTGATCATCTGGTAACCTGACCCTGTCTGCCTTCTGATACCTGACTCTCTGTTTGCCTTCTGGCCTGTCTCAGATGCTAACCTCCTGGTACTGGACTTGGCCTAACTCTGACCACTCTGTTGATTGCCTATGTCCTGGTTGTGACACCATGTTGACTGTTACTTATTATCTTCTAGGTGCTTATAAATTGATTGCTTGACTATTTGTTCCAGTACTGTTGTAATGTTTCTTTTTTATCTTTCAGGCATTTCAATTGTTTGCCATTGCCTCTGATGGTGTCCCATTCAGTCTTACTCTTGTGCAAAGCTAAACAATTGAGCCTTGCATTGCATCACCAGCCAGGTTAGGCAGGATGACAAATCCCCTTGCCCCAAAGGGCCATTATCCCCTGGTGACTAATTTCTACTCCAAGTCTATAAAGCAGACTTCTAAGGTAGATACATTATTCCTTCAATATTACCCATGCACACATCTCACAAAGATGCTCACTCTTGACAAGTTACCAGCCTTGTGTAGATCCCTTCCACATTCCTCTCTGTGGGTAAGTGCCCTGTAAGACACATGTGGGGTGCAGTGAGTTTGTCAGGCCTGCGGTGACAGCTGTTTGTGAAGATATGGGGGCCCTTTGCCAAGGGGTGCTGGTGTCACAGTGAGATTGGGGTGGCTGACAGTATGGGGCAGAGCACTGAGGCTGGTGGGGTAGGTAACACTCACTGGGCTGGGGGGCAGGTGGTGCCGGGATGGGGCAGGGGCAGGTACCTGTCAGTCTCCAGCGTTCGGGCCGCACCAGGGCCAGCAGCCTCTTCACCTTAGAGTCTCCCTCACTTGCCCGGGGGCCGCTCCTCCTCTCAGGCTCCCCAGCTGCTGCCGCCGCGGCCACCCGGGAAGACGCAGACCGGGGAGCGCCGCTGCGGAGGAGACACAAGGGGCCGGGCTCGGCTGGGGCCCCGCACCTGCTGGCCAAGAGCAGCAGGAACCGGGCACCACTCGGGGGGAGCCAGGCAGCCTGAGCCCAGGGCGGCGGCTGCCTCCACAGCAGCAGGGGCAGGCGGGGAGCGTAGCCCATCATGGGGCAGGAGAGGCCGCGCTGCTGCTGCTGTTTCCCGGCCCTGCCGGGAGGTGCCTACAACCACTGTCCCCTGCCACCCATGGAGCTGGAGCGCAGGGCCCGGGGCCCAGCCCCACTTGCCGCCCGCTGATAAGGGCCGGGCTGTGGCTTCCTGTTCATCGCCGCAACGCAAGGCCAGGAGCGAACCCAGCCCCCGCCAGCGCTCCCTGCTGCCCCTGCCTGGCTCACGCCTGCAGCCTCCGCTTCCCCCGCTCAGCCCCGCATCACTTTCACGGTAGGGTTACCATAGGTCCGTATTTTCCCAGACATTTTTACATATTTAAAAATTCTTCCCGGATGGCGATTTAACAACTAAAAAGCCGGGCATGTCCGGGAAAATACGGACCTATGGTAACCCTATCCTCATTGAGTAATGATCCTACCTTGTCATAGATCCATAGACTATCAGGGTTGGAAGGGACCTCAGGAGGTCATCTAGTTCAACCCCCTGCTCAAAGCAGGACCAATCCCTTGGTCTTCCTCTTGTTTCTAATGGATTTATAAATATTTTCTTGTTACCCTTTATGTCCCTAGCTAGTTTAATCTTGTTTTGTGTCTTGTCCTTTTTAATTTTGTCTCTACATGCTTATGTTGGTTTTTTTCATGTTCATCCTTTGTAAGTTGACCTACTTTGGTATGAGTCTTTTTTTGAGTTTCAGGTCACTGAAGATCTGCTGGTTAGGAAGTATGGTAAAAGACACCCCCCCCCCCCCCCACCTCCCCCTTCCTCCATCTCCTGTCCCTTTTTTTTCTCTCTCCTTTTATTCATTACAAAAGTGCCAGTTCTCCTGAACTTTTTTTTTTCACCTAGCCTTGCTTCCCATGGGATCTTAAACCTAACAATTCTCTGACTTGGCTAAAGCCTGCCTTCTTGAAATCCATTGTCTTTATTCTGCTGTTTTCCCTTCTACCATTCCTTAGAATCATGAACTCTATCACTTCATGATCACTTTCACCCAAACTGACTTCCACCTTCAAATTTTCAACTAGTTCCTCCTTATTTGTCAGAATCAAATCTAGAAAAGCCTTTCCCCTAGTCACTTTCTCCACCTTCTATAATAAAAAGCTGCTCCAGGCATTCTAAGAACTGGTTGGATAATCCATGCCCTCCTGTATTTTCCTAACAGATGTCTGGGTAGCTGAAGTCCCCCACCATCACGAAGTCCTGTGATTTGCATGATTTTTTAGTTAATAACTATAATTGTCATTGTTATAATAATGATAATTAATATAATTATTTGAAGTTTTACAAAAATATGAATGCTGCATTGTTATCTTACCTTCTCCAGGAGTTTGAGTTTCAGTCGGGTCATGTGATCTACCATGGAAGAGTCTGTCATTGTGGCAATTTTTCAGAGTAATAGGTAGGTAGATGTGGATTACACAGCTAAACTAGGGAGACAGCTTTTATTTTCAGTTATTTTTGTCCTCAAGGATCTTCAAAGAAGCATTTCATTAAAAAGTCTCCTCAGTATGAGTGGGTGACAATAGAAGACAATATATATATTAAAAAAAAAAAAGTTCCCAGGCTCAAATGAATGACTAAGGGCAACACAGATATTCCAAGCACAGCTTTCTTTGCTATTTCTTATTGCAATCTCTTGTGCTGGGGATAGGTCATGGTCGCTGCAATGTTGCTCAGCTTGAAATTGTCACTCCTTTCTTAATTGTTGCTAGCCTTTGCCTCAAAGCGTCACTAAGCCCAGCCCTATGCGTTGCTAGCATGCTCTTATGACTAGCTCTGAGTACAGGCCATGTAGCCTGGTTGCTAAGTTTGTTGTGCCTGTCTACAATCTAAACAACTTATCTCCAGGTTTACATGACTTGCATACCGTATACTGAACTACCGGCACATCAAGTAGAGACAAAAGCAAACTGGACAAAACTATTTGTGGTTTCATAACATGAGGCCAGTGTCGGGGGACCAGATTGCATACATGAGTAAAGGTGGCAGTGCTGTTGTAGCTGTATCGGTCCCATGATATGAGAGAGACAAGGTGGGTGAGGTAATATCTTTTATTGGACCAACTTCTGGTGGTGAGAGAGACAAGCTTACACAGAGCTTGAGAGGAGAGGGTGGCTTTAACCCACCTTCACACCTGTCACGTTATTGACATAAACTGGGACCCTATAGATCATTGTTGCAACCAAGGTCCTGTAGTGGCACCAAATCTGGTATAAAGGAGGTCAAATAAGGTGTCTAAGACAAGATTATGGTTTGCTGGTTATGATTATGCTGTCTATATGTGTGTATCATTTTTGTAGTTGAAGTTATGAATATTGGCTCTATACTGTCTGTATTTCAAAATATGCTATGCTTCTGGATGACACCCCAAACAAGTTGGTGTCAGCTCTGCCTAGCCTGCTTGATGGCCCATTAAGGACCATCAGCTATACGATTGACCCATTGAGGGAAGGCAGATACGCCTTGTGACTCAGCAAAGTATGCAGGGACTTGCCCATGTGACTCCAGACTCCATTTTGCTGTAATTTTCCACAGTAAGAACAAAGAAGTGTTCTTACACCTGGAAAAGACTATAAAAGGCTGATGCCTCATCTCCATCTTGTCTTCAATCCTGCTTCTTACCTCTGGAGGGACTTTGCTACCAATGGAAGCTCTACACAAAGGACTGATGACCCATCCCAGCTGGGGGGATGTACTCCAGAGACTTGATTTGAACCTGCAGTTTATTCTATCACTGCTACAAGCCTAAACCAAGAACTTTGCCATTACTGTATGTAATTGATTCCATTTAACCAATTCTTGCTCTCATCTATATCTTCTTCCTTTATGAATAAACCTTTAGACTTTAGATTCTAAAGGATTGGCAACAGCATGATTTGTGGGTAAGATCTGATTTCTATATTGACCTGGGTCTGGGGCTTGGTCCTTTGCGATCGAGAAAACCTTTTTTCTTTTACTGGGGTATTGGTCTTCATAACCATTTGTTCCCATAACGAGTGGCACTGGTGGTGATACTGGGAAACTGGAGTGTCTAAGGGAATTGCTTGTGTGACTTGTGGTTAGCCAGTGGGACAAAACCAAAGTCCTCTCTGTCTGGCTGGTTTGGTTTGCCTTAGAGGTGGGAAAACCCCAGCCTTCGTCTGTAACTGCCCTGCTTTAAGCAATTTGTCCTGCATTGGCACTCTCAGTTGGGTCCCACCAAGACCAGCATCGTTACAACACCTCACTAATACCGATCCTCCCTGTAGTTGTTGGCATAAGTTAGAGCAGCCCAGGGGCTGGGCCTACTCATGTAAGTAAAGTTAGGGTCTAAGTGAGGTTGCGATGATGATGTATGCTGTGTATACCAAGTCTGCTGCTCCAAGGGATGTTTGAGGGCCCGTTCCAGGGCCCACAGATGGCATTCAGGGGCACAATCCATGGGTCCCCAAGGAATGTTCAGGGGCTCATGCTGGTGACCCGAGATTATTCAGGGCCTGACCCAGTGTGTAGGGGGTGTTCAGGGCCCCTCCATGTCCCCAGGGGCCCACTCAGGTTGCTCCAAGGGTCCATCCCAGCATCTCAAGGAGCATTCAAGGGGTGTTGAAGGGTCACTCCTGCAGCTCCCAGTGTCTGTCCCTGGACCTACAGACAGTGTACAGGAGTCTGTCACAGTGTCCCCAGAAGTAGTCCCCAGTAGTTATTCTGGTGGTTGTTCAGGGGTTCCCAGCAGGTCATCAGCAGGCCATGTCAAGGCCCACAGGGGGTGTTCAGAGGCCCATCCTACCATCAACAAGGCAGGGCAGTCTCTACCATGATGTAACCATTGCAAGGACATCAATTGCATGAAACTGTCTCAATTTTCTCTGCATAATTCAGTGGGCTTGATTCTCCTTTTACAGCAGTGTAAATCAGGAATAACATAATTCATAGATTTTAAGGCCAGAAGGGACCCTTAGATCATCTAATCTGACCTCCTGTATAACACAGGCCATAGAATTTCAACCACTTACCCCATATAGAGCCCAATAACGTGACTAAAGCATAGCTTCCAGAAAGGCACCCAGTTCTGATTTGAAGTCTTGAAGAGAGAGAATCCACCATTTCCCTTGGTAGCTTTGGCAAGTGATTAATCGCTCTCTCTGTTAAAAATTTCACCTTATTTCTAATTTGAATTTGTCTGGCTTTAGCTTCCAGCCCAGTGGTGGGCAACCTGTGGCCCGTCAGGGTGATCTGCTGGCGGGCCACGAGACAGTTTGTTTACATTGACCGTCCACAGGCACGGCCGCCCGCAGCTCCCAGTGGCCGCGGTTTGCTGTTCCCGGCCAATGGGAGCCGCAGGAAGCGGCGTCCAGCATGTCCCTGAAGCCCAGGCCACTTCCCACAGCTCCCATTGGCCGGGAATGGCAAACCATGGCCACTGGGAGCTGCAGGCAGCCGTGTCTGCAGACGGTCAACGTAAATAAACTGTCTCACAGCCCGCCAGCAGATTACCCTGATGGGCCACAGATTGCCCACCACTGCTCCAGCCACTGTACCTCTCTCAGCTAGGTTCAAGAGTCCTTTAGTATCTGTATTCTCTCCCTGATAAGGTACTTATACACCATGATCAGCTCACCTTCTTTTTGATAAGCTAAACAGCTAAATGCTAAAAGTCTCTTAGGCCTGGTCTACACTACGAGTTTAGGTCGACTTTAGCCGCGTTAAATCGAATTAAGCCTTGACACGTTCACACGACGAAGCCCTTTCTTTCGACTTAAAGGGCCCTTTAAACCAGTTTCTTTACACCACCTCCGACGAGGGGATTAGTGATAAAATCGGCCTTAGGGGGTCGGAATTGGGTTAGTGTGGACGGAATTCGACGTTATTGGCCTCCGGGAGCTATCCCACAGTGCTTCATTGTGACCGCTCTGGACAGCACTCTCAACTCAGATGCACTGGCCAGGTAGACAGGAAAAGCCCCGCGAACGTTTGAAATTCATTTCCTGTTTGCTCAGCGTGGAGAGCACAGGTG